TAGTTTCCCAAACTCTGGTTTCTCTGCCCCGTGCAAGAAGCCCACCACAATGCACAAACAAGAAGGAGCTTAGGCTGATCATAGCTTGGAGGTTATAGACACCATGTGCCTGTGGCAGAGGCAGCAGGACACACATTGCAGAGGGACTGTTGAGGTTTCTGGCTGGCCACATGTTCATGGAATGTTCAAAGCTGACCTTGGGCTGCTGCAGGATCTCCACGAAGGGCCAAATCCTGCTTGCTTTTCTCTTCTGGCTGGCATCACTGCTTCTAGGAGGCTGCTGGAGCCAATAAGGCTGTGAGAAATGACTGTATGTGAGGGAAGATCATCTTGTGCTGTTCTGCCCAAGAGAGGAGACAAAACTGGAGACAAACGTTCTGGGGTCACTTTCTGCCTTTGATCTTGTTCAAGCAGCTGCCTCCTCTCAGGAGCCTATTCCCTCCTCTGTTCATGGAAGTGTTTCCTTGTCTCCCAGGGGAGGCTGGGGTTTCGAAACATGTAAAGAATCAGCTCTAGGGAAAAATGTCCTGGAAGGTTTAGAATCAAAGAAAAAGAGTAAATAGAGATGTATGCACTTCTGAGGTTGAAAAATGTGAAATGCGTTGGAAGGGGAAGGAGGTCTGTGGTTCCTTGAGGTTGTTTTTCCTTGTCTCCTGTTTCTGTAGCACCCCGATGATGTCCTGACTCTTCAGTACAAGCCTCTATCTTTAAAAAACACCTGCTGCCTGCCATTCCACCTTTTGCTGGACTTGGAGCAGCCGTTCCTAATCTGTGATGCAGACCATCAGCCCCTCCCTGCAGGGGCCCAGGTGAGCAGCCAAGGACCCTCCTGCCAGTGGGCTTTGAAGAGGGAGGGCTGTGGTGGTGCCCTTCTGTTGGGAGGTCCTCGAGTCAAGAAGTTTATTCCATAGAGTCAGCAGTGGACTGGCCTGAACTGTGAACTGAGTCAGCAGAGCTGCTGAAGGAAGCAAAAACTCATCTGAATTGGAAAGATCCCTCCTGGCTCTTAAGATACAAGGGGAAGGGAGCAGGCAGCCAGGTGTGGGCAAGCCATGCAGCAGAGGTGTCTCCTGGAGAGCACCCCAGCTCTCCAGCAGCCATCCTCTTGTATTGCTGCTGAGCACAGAAACAGGAGCCTGAGAATCCCCCACCGGAGTGTGGTGCTTGCAGTCAGAGCCTCCCTTGTAAAGAACTGAAGGGTGGACTGGGAAGGCCGTGCTGGGGTCACACTTGGAGCGTTTACGGTTTTGTGCTGTCAGACCTTGGGACTTCATCGTGTGGGTGACTGACACTCCTTGTCTCCTTGCAGCCTGTGAAGATGGAGGCAGGGCAGGAACTTCATCTCTCCATCGGCTTTAACCCAGCCTATGAAAAGGATCCGATCAGCTGGGTAGCAGAGAAGACTATGAAGATCCAGCTGGTGGAACATCCTCATGAGGAAGAGATCACCGTTCGGGGAGAGGTCTACTTCCCGAATCTCCGTATCCCGACCAAAGCGCTGGACTTCGGTTGCATCGCGAATGGCGCAAAACAAGTGCGTTCCCTGGAGATGACCAACTGCAGCCCAATTCCTGCCCACTACCACTGGTCATTCCGGGTGAACAGCAAGGAGTACCTGACAGGGTATGTGCACCTTTGCCCTCTCCTGGAAGCTCTGGTGTCCTGTTTGTACTTTGCAAAGACCAAAGCTGTTTGCCTGGCATCTGACAAACTGCTTTTGACTTTCCCTTGTGGAAATAACACCGACCAGCCGTGCTCAGGCTGGATGCTCAGGGAATAGGCGTTTTCCATGAGTTTGGTGCTGCTGTAGTCCCCCTCCTGGTTTCCTCTGGGAAGGAAAGCTGGTAGGGAAATCTGCTTTCTCAGACCTCTGTGGCGTGAGGCAGTGACCACCTTGGTGAAGGGCTCCTAGTCCCGCCTCCACAGTGCTGGTGGAGGCACTTTCACAGCCCTTTGGCCCCTCTGCTTTGGAATGGGTCCTCTCTGCGAGCAGAGAAACTGCTCTCTGCTCCTTGCTACCTTCTCTGCATTCCCAGCCTTGGCCTGGAAGTGCTGGAGGATGCCCAGAAAGTCCCAAATTACGTCACAGAAAGAGCTAGTTAGCACCTGAGCTGATGCTGAACATCTTGCTACCTTCCCCTTCCTTCTCCTTTTCTGAGACACCCCCTTTCTGAGCTCATCACACCTGCACCCACCCAGGGGCTGCATCCTGACGAGGAATTGCTCGTGCAGGTGTCCCTCCCTCCCACTGCAGGTCCGCGATCATGGTTATGTTGTTTTCCAGGTTCATACCTTCCCCACCTAGATTCAGACCCCAACCACAAATGGCCAGGTTCGGCTGTGTTGAGTGTGGGCGTTATTCAAGGAGGTACTTCAGGCCTGGAAGTGTGCGGGAGCCAGCCAAAGCCCCGGAAGCAGCACAGGACTCTTCCCAACAATCATCACATTCAGCAAACTGCCTGGAAACAGAACAGAATTCTTCCCAAGAGTCATCAGATTCAGAGAACTCCCTGGAAACAGAATGGGATTCTTCTGAAGAGTCATCGGATTCAGAGGGCTCCCTGGAAACAGAGGACGATTCTCCTGAACAGTCACCACATCCAGAGAACTCTCTGGAAACAAAGCAGGACTCTTCCCAAAAGTCATCACATTCAGAGGCCTCCCCGGAAGCAAAGGTGGGTTTTCTTGTGCACCTGCCACTTGTGTTGCCTCCCCCAGCTTGCTACCAAAAAGCCGTGCTCATGCTGACCTCCCCTTTTGCTGCCCTGCTGTTCTGTGCCCTGAGAGTGGGCTGGGCAGCAGGGCCAGTGGCTGGACATGGGGTGTCTGGGGAGGGAGAAATAGGATACTTTTCTTTGAAGAAGCCCACTCTGATCCTACAGACCTATGCTGAGTTGGGGATTTTTTGGCTTGTTTTCTTTACAATGTAAAATGAGGCTTTTCTGCATCATGATGAGAAGGCTCCCAGTTTCCTTCCTGTAGCAAACCGTGCCAAATCCTGATCTCCATGTACCCCCTTCCCAACCCAGCTAGAGCACCCGTTTTCAGGTCTCTGCCTTCACCCATGAGCCGGCATTGCAGTGACGGCCCCAGAGCTGCCCTTTATAGAGTGAGACTTGGCAAGGTGGCTGTGTCCTGGAATGGAAAGTGCCTTGTCTTCCAGGTGCCACCATCCACTGCTGCAGGGCCTCGGAGCTCAGTGGAGACGAAGGGGTCTGGGCAGTCGGTGGAGGCAGAGGCCCCTGGCTTCAGAGCGGAGGAGGTGAGTGGGAATCTCTCTTGCTTGCACGTTTTCAGCGTGGCAAGCAGGTCTGTTGCCCCCAGAGCTACAGAACTCCCTCTGCAGCACCCAGGGAGGGCATTGCTCCCCTGGTACCTCATCAGGTGCTCAACAGGATATTTTTCAGGAGCTTTTGGTGTAGCACCTTGAGAGAGCAGCATGTAAGTCAGAGAGAGAGGGAAAAGCCTCAGGAGTCAGATGAGCTGGGCTGGAGTCTTCCCCTCAGCTCCAAGAGCTCTCACCTCTGAGTCTCCTGCTTTTCTGAAGGCAGTAAAAACCGGTTTTAAAGGCAAGTTCTGCAGCAGAGAGAATGTCTTGCTGCCAGGAGACATCCCAGTTTACTTTAATGTCTGGTATTAATTAATGCATTGAGCAGTGAGTATGGCAGAAGACTTTGGCCATGCTCCCTCCACTGGTCAGTGGCATGGAGGCAGGATGAGATTAGGATGCTTCTGGCTGGTGTTTGAGGAATAGGCCCCTCCAGCTACGGTTGTGCTTTGCTCCAAGCCACGGCTGCTCTTCTGCACCCATTTCCACGCTCAACGACTCGATCCCTCCTCCCCTCCTGCAGGTTTTTGGTGTCCAGCCGGTGTCCGGTGTGCTGCAGCCGGGCAAGAGCCAGCAGGTGCCCTTCACCTTCTTTGGCCATGCCAACGTCATCGCCCGTGTCACAGCGCTGTGCCGGGTGGAGGGAGGCCCGACCTACGAGGTGGAGCTGAGGGGAGAGACTTCGGTCCTCACCTACCACCTGAGCATCGAGGAGATCAACTGTGGGCTGCAGGTACCACCCCTTCTCCTGGCAGAGCTGCTGCCTTGGGACCATCACCAGCAGGTTGCTGCCCAGCCCGGCCCAGGGCTCCCTCCCCTTCCCAGCTCCTTTGTTGGCTCTGGGGCTTGGAAGCACAACCTTGGAGGGATTTGTCTGGCATCCAGACTGCTTTGCAATGGCTGTCTCCACCCCCCTCTAGAATGTTGGGAATTCCTTCTCTTCAGGGTGCCTAATGCTGCCTCCTGGAGCAAGCAGGATCCCAGTGGGGATGTCCAGAGGGACACGTCCCTGAGACATCCCTCTGCTGATCCACTCCTAAAGCCTGAGCTCCAGTGAGATGCTCTTGTTTAATGCTCTTGCTTAATCCACAAAATAACCCGGTTGGGCTTCCAGTCACTGCAGTTGGAGAGAATGTCCCAGAATAATCCCCACTTTCCTACTTCTCAGTTAAAAGTCCACAGGTCTTTCCAGCTGCTGTCCCTGTCTTGGTGCCCCGTCTGTCTCCCTTTTGGCTGGTGTGTTGCTTGCCAGTATTTGCATGCAGGCGCCTTTTCTTCTGGAAAGCCTCGATGCCACCTCCTTTGTTTCTCCTGGCTGTTGGTGACCCCTCAGAGTGCAGAGGGCCCGTGTCCCCTGCTTCATTTCTTATTGGCCCTCCCATGGTTGTTCCTGCCCCTCTGCGTGCTGCCAGAACTCTGTTCCTGTGCAGGTCCCTGTGCCTGGGGGTTCCCCACGTTCCCAAGTGCCCGTAGCTCGTTCCCAGTCCCTGCTCCTGTGGTGTGTCTGCTTTCAACTCCATGAAAGAGGAAATAGATTCTCAGCAGCAGGCCTGTGTCCGTAACTTCCCACTCCTCTGTCCTCTCCAGCTCTTTAACGAAGTCACCAGAGCCGAGGTCACCCTGCGGAACGACAGGAAGGTCGGATTCACCTACGTGGTGCAGAGTCCCAGCACTGGCACTGCAGACAAGCCTCTGCCTGGTGTGCTCATGGTCCTGCCCAGCACAGTGAGTGGCACAATTGACTGACCCAGCCCTGTGTCAGGTGGCCAAGGAGAGGGTTAAAGAGAAAAAAGGGGGGCAAATAAAACCAAACCCAGCCATAAGAAGAGACCGGGCTGTAAGCAATTGCTGCTGGGGGCAGAGAAGGTCAAGCAAGTGCCATCCTAACAGACTGCCCCGTGGCCTTGGCTGGCAAGTGGCTCTGCCATCCCAGGGCAGCCACCGGTGGGAGGCACGAGCACTTTGGTCACTCCTTGGCCCCCGACTGCTGAGCTCTGTGGCTGTGCTGGCACTGAGGCTCTTCTGAGGGTCACCTTACCCCAGCTGTGGGATCAGACAGGACTAAGCAGCACTTACATATTCCTTGCTTGGGCTTGAAGCTGCTCTGCCAGAAAGTGTCACAACCCCTGTGCTGGTCCTTCCCTCCCCCCAGCTGTGCTGCTCTGGAGCAGCTTTGTGGGGCAGTGAGGGGGCCAGGGAGGAGCGGGGCTGGAAGAGCCAAGAGAGGAATTTGGAGCATCCCACCACTGTCCCAGCTTCTCAGTGCTGCCTGGATGTCTTTGAGGTGAAGCAGTGTTCCTGTCTTTGTCCCTCTTTGCCATGGGAAGAGGAAGCCGATTGGCTTTCCCATTTCTTCCTGCCTGTCTCCTACAAGGGGTGGCAGGAGCTGCTGGCCGGGCTGAGAGTGTGGGCGCTTCGCTCCTCTTCCCCAGTGGTGGCAAAAGAGCTTTTACCTGTTCAGCCTGGCTCTCGCTGGCAGAGGGCAAACCCCGTTAGCAGCAGAGCCGTGCTCACGCTGAGCACAGGGCAGGCTCTGCTGGGGGTGCAGCCTTAGGAGCCCTGGGAAGGACACACTGCACCCTCTGCACCCTCGCCTTGGAGGCTTGGGCTTTTGGGCACGAGGAAGGTAGAAGGTGATGTGGTCTGACATTTTTTTCCAGAGAGAAACTGTCTTCTCTTCTCAGCCTGTCTGTGGCCTGAGCCTTCCTCCATCACACCCTCTTTGATGCATTGCCTCCCTCTTCTCCTGTCCCTTGCAGGCTTCCATTGAACCTGGCAAGGAGCAGGTGCTGAAGCTCTATTACCTGCCAGGAGTGCCAGGAGTCTTCTGCAGGACTTTCCAGGTTCAAGTGGGTCACCTGAAACCGGTAGAAATCTCCCTGAAAGGAGAGGTGATCTTTGCTGGGATCTGTCTGGACCTGCCCTGGAGCATCAGAGGTGAGCACTGCCCGTCTGCTCCCCAGCAAAGTCCCCACTGGGGTTTTCCTGGCTGTAATGCCCAGAGGGCAGCTCACACCCATCTCCACCAAGCCTGGAGGTTGCAGGGCTGCCAGACCAACACTCACCCCTCTGGTTGCTTCCTGAGTCTTGAGCAGACAAGCACATGGAGGCTTTGTCCAAGTAACCATCCTGCAGCTCTTGCCAGCACTTCCGTCAGAGGCCTGGAAAGATGGCTAGACAGAAAAGCTTGGGAAAGCTGTAAGAGAGACTGGCAGGGCTTTTGGCAGGGATGGATTTGCATGACACTGCAGGGGATGAGATGCTCCTCTGTGGGGAGGAAGATGGGTGGGAGTGAACGTGAGGATTCAGAGATGAGCAGCAGCATCCACTTTCCAGAGACGGCTTTCCATTGATGGGTTGTTTCTGGGAGAGACCAGCATTCGGGGGAGTGGGACTTCTCAGCTTCAATGGCATTGGCACTGCACCCACACTTCTATTTGTGAATGTTTTCTTCCTTCAGGAAGTGAAAAATACGAGAGGCTATTGAAACAGGCAAAAGAAAAGCTGAAAAAGGACAAGCAGGACAAGAAAGTAAGTGTTTGGAGGAAGGCTCGAATCAGGAAGCGACACGCGAAGGGCCCTGGCATTGTGGTAGGAACAGCTGCAGTCCCATTTGGCACATGCCACCCTCCCCATGTCACTTGAGGCCCTGGCACCCCACAACACCCCACAACAGCTTCTCAGTGCCCTGCTGGCACTTGGCACCTCCCTGCCCACACCTGACCACAAACATTCATCAGCTCAGCGTTGCCCCACCTCTGGTCGTGGTCTCTCCTGGAGATGTACCAAGCTCCCCAGCTACTCCCCTTGCTGGGGAGTTTGTTGCTCCCAAATCAAGCCCTAGCAGGTTTACAGACCTTAGGAACAGCAGCCTGACTGTGCCCTGGGACTGTGCTGGCAGTACTCAACTCCAACAGGCAGTAGCTTGGTCGGGGTTCCCTTTTCAAGACAGCTTTTGTCCAAGCTGCTTTGGCACTGGTTGGGGACAGGCAAATACTTGAAGCTCTGGAAGGCTGCTGGCTTGTCTGTCTGGCCAGATCAGCTTTTCTAGCAGTGGGTGGGAAGGCACAGATGCTGCAGTTATTTCCCTGGAGAGAAGGTCCTGGCTAGGAGAGCAGAATGTGACACTGAGCAGCCAGGAGGACCCCATTCCCCCTTTCAACAAGAGCAGGGTGGGATCCTCTTTAGATACAAGCCTGGGCCTTGGGAAGGGCCTTTGCTAACCAGCCACTGCCTTCCCTTCCCTCAGGCAAAGGCTTGGCTGAGGATGGAGATGGAGCAGATGCTGATAAAGGAGAATGCTCTGGAGCTGCAGCCAACCCTCATCTCCCGCCCCCCAGAGGACACTGTCTTTAACAAGAGCATTCCTCAGAAGCTTGTCAAGTGAGTAGGGGCTCCTGTTCCCTCTCTGCAGGTGCCCTGAGGGCAACAGCCAGCAGTGTCCCCTGCTCCTGAGAGCTCCTTGTGCATGCAGAGCTGGGAACAGTGGGCACTTCAGATTGGGTCTGATCCCAGTAGCTGTGGCAGCAATAGCTCGTGAGCAGCTGACTGTCCTCCCTTCCCCAGCGCTGCGCTGAGCTTTGGAGCTGCTCAGCTCCCCACAGGTGCAAGGTCCTGTTCTTAGAGCTGCGAGGGCCCAGTGCAGACCATCAAGCCCTTCCAGACAGCACAGACACAGTCCCTGCTGACCAGCTCGGAAAGAGAACTCCAAGCTGCTCTCTTGGTTCTGACTGACAGAGCCCCCTAAGCAAAAGGTGGCTTTGATGCTGGTGGGCTGGCAGGGCTTATCTGGGTAACTTGGTCCTTCCCTTTGCTCCTTCATGATGCTGCCTGGGCATGGGAGGCTCCAGTTCAGGAAGAAGATGCTTTGCAAAACAGATCCTTCATGTGAGCAGCAAAGTTTTCCTGTGCAAATCTTATTCCAAGGCTCGGAAGCAATTTCAGGCTTGGGCTGTGCACCAGGAGAAGCGTTTTCACTGAGACCACTGGAGGTCCAATGGATTTACCTACACGGGCTTTTTGTAGCAGAGGAGCTGTGACCAGAGTCCATTGAAAACTAATTTTATTTTCGGGTCCCATTGGAAGCTGATGAAACCTAGGACCTGCACTCCCCATAACTTCCCAAAGTCATTCCCAGGTGGTCAGGCCTTGGGTTTTGTAGGCTTGAGTTGAGTTTTTACAGCAGTGAGTACAGAAATGTCCACTTTATTTGAATCTTCCGTCTACTTGAACGTGTGGCCATGCTGTTGTTTAAGGACTGTCCTTACTCCTCCTTCCAGAGTTGAGCTGCCCGAGTACATCCTGGACATGGGCACTGTTGTTCAGGGTTACAGTAAAAGCTGCACTGTGAAGATCACCAACACCTGGAGGTACCCAGTGGCCGTCCAGGCCAATGAACGTGCCCTGCGTGACACAGGTAACCAGTGCTGGAGAGGCTTCCCGTGGGCTGCAGGGAGTGTCTCAGACAGATTGGCTTAAGCCACTGCACATGGGGAGGTTTTTTGAGCTTCTTCCTCCCAGTGCCCCTGCTGGGAGCTTCAGGGCCAGAATTC